GGCCCAATGCACAAAGCCAGGTACTACAATGACGGGTCTGCTGCGCGAAATAAAATATTTCCGCCCCGTAGTCCATGTTCTCCTTTGTCTCCGATCTGAGCTGAGCCGCGCAAGGTCTGACTTACGCCTCAGCGAACTCAACCGTCACATCAGGCGGACCCGGTGCGCCCTCCTCCCTCCCTGACTGGATTTCTGCAGCTGGGCCAAGCCTCGGGGCCCAATACCAGAGGCATTTTTGTGTTGGATTGGAATGAAGCTGGCAACATTGAAGGCTGCGAGGCCGCCATCCGCCGCCATGCCTTTGACATTTGGACGTACCGAGTACGGAGTACCGCGTACCAACTAGAGTGCAGCAAAAGCAAAGCAAGCCAGGCATCTAGGTCAGAGCCCCCAGATGTTTCACAAGCAGAGCCTGCCTGGCCAATCTCATTGATCGCTCGTCTCATCCTCCATCCACCAGACTCCACCCACTCATCCTCGCACCAACCACGCCCACACTCTTGATGACGTCTGGTCTGCCCAGTTTTCCTTTGCGACCCTCCCGTCCCCCACGAGACTTGAGATGAGGCTTCTCTGAACAATGAATGGATTGGCCCTTTCATTGCCGCATTCGCATCGCCGTTCCGCCGAAACGGAATCTCAATAGGGACAGTCAAACAATCTAGAAGAAGGGGCCCTGGCCCTTTGGCCTCAGGGGCAACACCCAAATGCCAGACGCCAACCATGGACATGGCCGTCGATTATCATTTTACGTGCGCCTCCGCCACGCCATCTGACGCGCTGCACCCGAAGCACTCGGCAGCCTGGAGCACAGCATGCGCATCGGGATGCCTCTCACATGGCCAACTCTGCAACGGTCCCGGCGGCCCTTGACAAAGCGGCCCATCCTGCGCCGAGATGAGGAACGCAAAACACAATGGCCCCATTGTTCGTATTCCTGGTAGCCCGTCGCCGGTTGGCCCGCCATCAAAGAGAATGCGGCTACGGTCAGCCTTAAGCTCTTGAGGGGCAGTCGTCTCTCATGACGTTGACAGCACTGGTTTGACGTGGAGCCCTCGGCCTAGTCGTCTGGATACGCGTGTCCTCGCGACAAATTGGCACTCCAGACTCCTCGCAATGTCACCGCACCAAAAATAGCCCAAGAGGTGCGTGTCCCGACGCCACAGCGGTCCCCGCACAACATCTAGAACCCGCACAGCCACCGTTGACGCTTCCAATTCAAATGCTAATGCAGAATGTCGATTACAGCAGTCTTCATTTTGCCATCTTTGCGTCAGTCTCGTCATCTGCTGCCTATACGAACAATGGCATAGCCTGCACTACGCCGAGCGTTTGACTATGGTGCTTGCTAGATCAGACCAGCCTCGGCACTGACTCGCACCAGACCGTAATGCTGTCCCATGAGTTACGGCGCGACCGGTAAACTCTCATATTTCATCCTCAATCATCGGCATAAAGAATCCTATTATAGACAAGATTATATGATACAGATTCAGCAAGCCAAAGCCGAGAGAACGCGCCCTTCCCTCCAACAAGAATAACCTCGACTGCCAAGGTCAATCGGAGTCCAATGACGCTCGCTTGGCCCTACGAGAGGTCCGGTGATTGTGAGGGCGCTTCAGGGAACCAGGTACAGATCGGGGGATGCATAAGTATGAAGTCAGAAGTGACGGTAATCGTAGGCTATAGTGAAGTCTTGTAAGTGCTTGTTCCTGCATGCCCAATTTGGCCAGATAATATACCTTTAGGCTCCCCAGTGTTTTTGTGATGACTATCAAATCGCAATCTCTACAGTCGACTTCCCAAGGGACCGCGGCCACGGATTTGTATATCGTCGTTGTCCCAGTGAGTTTGGTCACGATGGTGACCTTGGTGGCACATTTTGTTGGCTTGAGCTCGGCGGCGGCAGCCGTCGCACTAGAAGATATTAGTTGCCCATCTATTTTACAAAAACCGCGTCTGCTTTAGGCCGCCGTTTCCACATTGTTGGTTTCTTTGTGAATGCGCTTCCAGGACATGTCTTGGCTTACCTCGCGATACTCAGGATAGCGCTCAGAAGAAATGAGGGAGGCATCCTGTGAGACACTGACTCTATACGGGCAAGTACGAAGGAAACAAGTCTCAGCAAGACGGATAATTTCTCGTCTGGTCCAGAGGGAGCTTTATACAGTAGCCCATCGGCTGGAGGTGGAAACCCCCGCTCGTTCATCGTTTCAATCTTCTTTTTTCCAACGCAGCGAGAACCCGCGACATCGACCACGTCACACATAATGTTGAATCGGCTGGAGTCAAAGTATGCCCTCTTCGCTCACACGCATCTTTTGCACGAGCCCACTGTTTAGCCTTGCTGCAGGGAAATATGCACGTCACCGTGTCTGCGAACCGCATCGCGATGCAAATGGCAATGAATCATCACTAGAGATGGGCGATACTACTTTCCCGGGGACACGAATAATGTCATGTCTGGTGTAGATTGAGCCAGCACTGGCAATGCGCGGCGCTCCCCCCCCGCTTATCTTGCTTCTGCATGTCCATGCACGACTTTCGCAACATTTGAAAGCTCAAGTGCAGGCCCCTGACACAAATCAATACTTTAGTTGTAACTGCGGTGGTTTCCGTTCTGGCTACTTGCAGCCGTAGGATCCGCCATGTCAGCAATATTGCCTTTATTTGCCCAGTTTTTTTGCGACGAGCATACTCCGTATAAACTCGGCCTCAATGTCGGGGTTTCCCCTTTTGGAACCGGACTCTTGTGGATAAAAACTTGTCATGATGAGAAACTTGTCTTGTCTTGATTTGTACAGAGCGTTACCCGTAACCAAGCTGGACCAAACAACTTCCCCCAACGGTAGAATGCTGGTTGCTATACGAGTCATTACCCAACAAGCTCCCATGCTTCCCCGATGCGTGTTTCTTGTTTTGACTTGTCATCGTGGTTCTAGAGATTAACAGTGTACAGGTTAGGCAACATTTAAATTGCCCTTGTCGACTTGCCCCACAAGCAGTCGGGCGCGCTACCGATGCTTGAAGCCGATTTTTCACCCTTCGAATTGGCGCCCGGCTTCAACGACGCAGGAATTCACAGCATAATTGGGGCACCGTTTCCCATTCCCTTTCTTCAGCGCCGCCATGGAGCAATTTCTCCTCCAGGCCCAACATTCGGGGACCATCAACCACGCCCATACTTTTCTGTTCCCGCCCGGCGCAGCGCAGTTTGCCAGGGAAATCCGGCTCGCGGTGACGGTGGTGGCCGTTGCCTGGGTCACTGTCAAAGCATTCGACCTGATTCAAACAAAGGAGACGAACTCGAAGTCTTGAGGGAGTGATACGGGAACACGAAGCACTCCTCTTTCTTCCGTATTTTCCATTTCCCGGTCTCCTTTCCGCTCTTTGGCACTACCCGGTTGCATCATGGTGTCAAAATACATTAATTGGGCCTGAGAGACGTAATACACCCGCGGCTGGTAATATATCATCGAATTTCCACTTAAAACGAATAGAATGCGTTGCGCAAAGTCGGCAATTGGCGGCGTTGCATGTGCCACCGCGGAAGTTATATAGAAGGCATGGCTGGATCAAAGGGTTTCTTGCATACAAGTTGAACATAAAATATTGTTCCATGTAATATACAATATTTAGTTGCACTATGCTGTTATCATGAAATACCAGTTGTCACCTCGGCATCATGGGTCAGCGGGAACATCGATACTGCAAAATTGTCACAAAAACAGCGCCGCTCTCATTGCGGCAGCGAGTACCCCTTATATTCCCCTGAACGAAACGAATCTTGGCTATCCTTTCGCCCCCATTGAGCTTCCTCCTTCAAAGCAGCCATCTGGTGCTGATAATTCGGTGTAGCAACTTGAGAGTAAACCTGTAGGCAGTTGCATAACTAGACCAGGCGACATGCCTCGGAGCACGGTGCTTCAGGTTCACCAATAGATCAGAGATCGGGTCAATCGAATACGGTTGGTTACAACGTTCCAGTTTTCCCCGGCATTTGTCCACACGCCAGTAGAGACCAAGGCGCCGCCCCGTCCACCGGCGCCGTCGTCCAACTCTGCCGCCCGTGATGGACGGATCGCGGGGTATTTTGCGGAAAATGGGGCCGGCAGGGAGCCCAAAGCGGTAAAGATTCAATTCGCACCGCTGTAGTAGCAAACTGGTGATTGTGGCCTTTGGCTACGCTGAATACTCGACCTCCCCAGGCAAACTACCACAAAGACCTTGTCAAACGGGAGTCGCCAATGTGACCGGGCCGAGCAAGTCCTTACCAGGGCTGGTATGTTCAATTTTAGTTTTAGCATAAGAAACACAGTGTGCGTTGTAAGTTGATCGAAACTCCATTCGATTGGTAAACATTAATAGGATATATTGGCTACCGGCTGTCTACTTCTATAAACCGCTTTCCGGACCCCAGTCCAAATCACAAGCGCCACAAGATGGCAGTTTCACCGGAGCAAACAACGGTAGCATACAGCCTAGAGACGCCTGCCGCTTTCGAGCCCAGTTGCGCCTTTTTGGCCCATCGCCGCGAGACCAGGAGAGAAGAGGCCGTAGAGGAGCCCGTTGCCACAGAAAGAGCCAGTACTATTCGCCGCATGAAGCTTCCACATAATGAGGGTATCGTTTTCCAGCAGAAAGAAGAGATATCGAAGCGACAAAAGAACCTAGTCGAGTGTGTGACTATGTCGGTAAACTCTTGTGTGCAATTCAACCACAGTCCAGGTCTCCAAGTCTCCAACCAGGACGCATTTAAAAAAACCGGGCATTTCCACAGCGTCTCTGTATCGAATTTGAAGGGACGTTTTATTTCTCGACAAAACGGAGACGCGCAGCACAAGTTCCGTGGTCAAATCGGCACCGTCGCGTAGAACCCGGTCCCGTCTACGCGCCAAGAAAATTGTCTCGGGGCAAAAAATTCGCATTCTACTCGTCGTTTAGTCTCACAACGCATCAATCTCCAAGCCGGGACGGACAAACGAGATGGAAACCGCAGTCTAGAAGAACCACCACCTCTTGGCGCTCTGGCTCTTCATGTCGTTGAGCTTGTCCATGAAGCCCCTCCGCTGCTGCTCGCTGAGGCTGCTCCCCACGGCGTTGAGGACCTTGAGATGCTCCTTCTTGAGCTCCTCGAAGCCGGCGTCTAGTTCCTTGTGCCACGGGTACAGGACGAACACTTGGAACCCTAGCGCTGAGCTGGCGACGAGGAAATTGGTGAGCGAGATGGCCCGCGTGACTATCATTGTGGGCTGCGGTTTTTTTCTTCTGACGGTCAAATCAATTGCCGCGTGGTCGGCTGGTCTTGTCCCCTTTTCTGGTCGGGCTCCTTGCGGTCTGGAAGGCTGGTTGGGCTGAGCTGGATCGCAGGGGCGTGTGCGCGACACCACGACGCCGGGACAAGAAAAGGGTAGAAGAGATGCAGAGGAGGAGGGATGAAGAAGAAAAGTGAGGGGGGAATATTTGTCAAGTATTTTATTTATTGAGCTGAGTTTGGTCGGAACTTGTCGGGGTTGACGGAGAGCTATGCCCAAAAGGACAGAATAGGCAACTGGTCCACCACATCTAGAAGCTTCATGCTGGCGGGCAGGTATTGGCTTGTCGTGGTCAGGTATATCGCTACCGTTTGCCTTGGACGAGAAGAGGGAAAAGTTTCGGGGGCAAGTCGTCGAATGCCTTTTGCTCGTTCAACGAGCGGGCGGATGAGAAGGCCCGACGCAGGACATATAAACGAGTCTGAATACCCAGCCATTCTCACCGTGAAATGAGGTCAAGATACATTTGATTGACGTCAGAAAAGTAAACGGGGCCGATTTCGGGGCAGGTTTGTCCGGGTTCCAACGGCTGGAAACTGCTGGTACCAAACACTTTAGACCAAGTCCCACCGCGTAGGTATACTGTACGGTCGACTATATGGTATGTCACACTTGGCTTGTTCCATATTGTAAGTACATAGTTCAATCTACCATGGTCAAGACCGTGCTACAAGCCTCGAGGCTACCTGTCCCCTAAATGCGCCCCAGACAACCCCCCACTGTTCCATTAAGTGGAAAGTGGCGTGATGTTTCGTGGCATTAGGACACAGACTAGGCCACATGGTCAATTGCACTGACACGAGACCTCTAATCGTTATGTGTTCTCCTCGGCACTCGTAACGGTTCAGTAACTAGGTGTAGTGGAAAACCGGCGCTCCGAACATGTCCAGGGTATGTACCGCAGTCTCCCCAGCTTTGTATCAAATAGCAGGAAGCCTCGTATGTCGTTGTGCGCCTTTCTAGCCTGGTAGGCCTCGCTGATCATAAAAGCGAAACGGCGGTGAATCAAGGTTAGAGTCGAGAGGCGATTTCAGGGTGGTTGGTGTACATACCAGGAGATGCACACTGGCGGTTGAACAACTTGATGCCATCTTTGGCGACTACGCGGCACCGGGCCTGGACTGAGAAGCAGACTTGGGACATTTTGGTCAATACCGCCAAATCCACAGAGTCCCGACTATTCAACGGACTGTCAGTGTAAGAACCTTTGGACATGTGGAACGGGAACGAAGCGCGGCTCTCTTGTCTGGCCTCATTCGCTGCCTCTCACGTAACAGACTAGTACAAGTGACTTGGTCTGCCATGATTCGACTGCATTTCTATACTGCAAACTTGTGGTTACGAACAGCTAAGCACGCTTGCGCTGTGTCAAAAGACTCAGCTAGTGGACAGCTGTTCAATGGTAGCTGGCCCTCTCTGCAACCGACAACCTAAACTTGGATACGGTCGTCATCATCGTATCTGGCACATAGAGAATGTGACTATCGCGATTCTACTCGGGTGATGTAAGACGTCCGGCGAGTTCATCATTGCATTAAGTTGGCAGCATTCTTCTTCACTTGAGCTCGTCCTTGGACTTGCTTCAACGTTAAGCCTGCTGTACATGAATGGTAAGCTGTCTCTTGGGCAAGAGAATATATATGAATGGCGCGTGGTGGTGGGACGAATGTGCTCACAGTTGGTGTTATCCAAGGCGTACTGTTTGATAGGCGTACATGTTGAGGGTAATGCCTGACTTTGCCGACGAAAAATAAGTTACGGGTTTATCGTCCATTTCTCATAGTTGTGCATATTTATCAGCAAGAGATAATATGAGGATCATTTCCGTAAAAGCCCTTCGGCTAGAGGCTTCGCTGATGACCAGATGTCATATTCGCTTCCTAGGCTATTTCCCTTGATATCGCCGGCTGGAATTTGGTGTTGGTCCTCTTCGAGTTCTAAACCCAAGAAATATAGATCAAGCCGATATTCCTCGACGGTTTTTAAACTCTTTCTGGTTCCCTCTGGGCTCCAAAATGTCGTATGATTGAGGTTAAAAGGAGTTGGGTCGCTAGTCCTGGTTGATGGGACTCCGTAGAAACGCCATTCATTTGGGTAAACCGAATGTGTCAAAGAAGACTCTGAGTTTCGGAAAATCCATGGTTGCCGGCGCGGTCAAAGACGACAAAGGTGACCCTGTTGCCGGTGCGGGAGCCAACTTCGAATGTTCGCTCCCAACTATCAACTCTTCCTTACTATGCGCTGGTTCCTTTGCCACCGTTCACCGAAATTTAGCATCCTATGCCACTTATTACGAAGCTAGCATTGCTCATGTGACTGGATATTCGGCCTAAACAGAAAGTCGTTTTAGCTTCGTATATCTGGTCCGCGGCGGCGTGGCAGGTCTTACCTTGGCCAACGCCCTTCAACATGCGGACATCGACTACCTCTTACTTGGGGTCAGAGGAGACATCACTCTGTAAATCAATGCATTAATAGGCTTGGGTCCTAACGGGAGTCGTATCCTGGACTCGCTCGCGTGTTATGACGAGATTATGGCACTGACGTAGCCAATTGCCTACATCGGAAGCAGCTGCGGCGACATTGGCGACTATATTCGGCCAAGGACGAACGCCCTCCAAACTTTTCAAGCACACCCAAGCTACTTACTGTACGTGTTTTCTTGACCTGAAATCTGTTCCCAGTGTTCTGGTCAAGCATATTATATAACAAGAGGAGGGTGTTGCCCAACAACACGGTCACCATGGCCGACCACCACCACAAGCACGGGATAAGGGTCTCATGCCAGGACCGGGTGTATTACAACAGTGATATTCTCATTAGGGAATATGGGAGCTATATAATTACGAGGCGGGAAATATGGCATGCCGCCGAAAGGGTCGCTGGGCAAGATCCCGGTTTTTCAGAAGCATAAAATGTCAAGTGTATATTTGACATCTCTCTCGGATCCCATATTGGAGCTGACCGAACGGTCCTTCGACGCCATCTAAAAGCAAGACATGTCCCCTGTCGGGCAAGGAGAATTAGGCTTCAATACGCCGTTGGTCGCCTGATGAGGCTAGCAACGCTCCCACAAAAAGCGCTCGGAAAGTGCATTAATCTACTTGCCTAAAGTCCGTAGTCCTTCGCAGAGCGAGTCAGGCAGATTTTCCTTCGTCATTGACTCACTGCCTTCTTCTGGGCGAAAGTCTCTCGGTGTTGCCCAAGAGGATTGAGCGCTTTGTCTTCGCTCTCCTGTATAAGAAAATTCTAATATTAGAGTTTTTGTTTAAGGCTGCGGCTTGTCAAGGCAGCTTTAGAAACCGCCAATGATGGCCAATGATGATGATTTAAGGCTTCCATTCACTACGTGGCGCTGCGTGCAGGCACGTCTTGGTGTGGCGGAGTAGTAGTTATCTCATAGGATATCATATATCAGTTCATGTCTTAGTTGGCAGCCTTGAAATACGGCGTCAAGCGGATTGGCTTTGGTAAACTGTCTCTGCCACGTCCACAAATATGCAGGTGACAAGGTATTGTAGGCCACTCAAATATGAGACAGAGTTATGCCACAGTAACGATGGCGGCTGGCTGTGCCAATGAATTGCCCTTGTACTGCAACTGAAAAGGGGCTTCACTGATGCTGCTACCAGACGGCAACAGGCTGCGGAATCTACACATTATAAACATGTCGTACAGAAACTCTAACGACAAGTCCACAAAGCGACTCCCATTCCTCATGATTTATCTTTGACGTTTGTGTGAGAACCCGCACAAGATCAATCCTCTCTTCTCTCAAGTCCTGGCTATCTAAATGGCGCCACGCAGGGTCGCGACAACGTCCTCGCACGACTATGTGTCTCTGGTGCCCCTACCTCCCCCCACGGAAGAAGACGACGACGGCGAGGACGTCGGACAGCGGCCGCCTAAGCCCAAAAGAAAGAAAACATGGCAACGCTTCGGTCTCATGAGCTTCATCATCCTGCTTCTTGGCTCAGCGATACTACTTTTAGTATTGCTTATACTATGGATTCTCTGGAAATCATCGATGAGAGCGGCTGATGGAGGCCCGGCAGAAACACCCTGGGTGTACATCTTCCGAGCAAACCGGGCAACCACTCTCGTTGCCTTATGTACAGCAGGCTTAAGGACAGTTATAGGCCTCCAGTCAAGTGTGGCTACTGGGATGCTTGCGGGAATAATCCTGGAGAAAATTGGCGCCCCATTGTTGAAGGCACCATTCTACTCCATCATCAGGGCTGTCAGTATCGCTCCAAGCAACTTGTTACCTGCGGTACGCTCCAGGCCCAAAGATACTCTATCATTCTTAGTATACACGCTTGTGGTCCTTGAGGTCCTCTTGACTGTGGCGTCCCAATTTCTCTCCGCCATCCTCACCACCGACTTTGCGGAGGGCACATTCGCTGATATAAACAACTCTACCGACGTCCGGATCTTTGTACATGAAAGAGGAAGACTAAATATAAACAACAAGTACTGGGAACTCCCACCCGCATCGAGTTGGACATTCGCTGAGTCCTCAGAATCGTTTACCAAAGGAGCGAGCTTTGATGATACTGGACACACTTATCGAGCTTTCCTTCCCTTTGAGGAGGAGGCTCATCGAACCAAGTTACGAAAATTCCGCGGCCCAGCTCATGTTATAGACCACCGTGTAGTCTGTGCGACACCTTCTTTGAGAAATCTTAGTCTCAATTGGATGAACAATGCTATTAGTTGGGACTTATCAGGTCAAATAGCTATGGAAACTACGCTATACCCAATGTTAAAAGAGATTAAACCCCAGGACTATGTTGATTTTGTCTGCGCTTTAGCGAAACCGACATATACAAATGTTACGACCGATACATATGTTACGACCGGGGAGTCGAGCTTGTGTGCTATAGATTCAACAAATTGGACGATATTACTAGAAGATCCTTTGGTCGTTCCTGTTTTCGAACAGGGGAGTGGGCCAAACGCCATTTCTCCAGACAAGGTAGGCCATCCCAAGGGATCAAGAATGTTTATGATTTTGGACATTGTTTCCGCGTTTCCAATATGGAGAATACGTGATCACCATGATTACAAGGTTGTCCGCAACGACGGACCCTGGGTGATAGCAGCGGGAGAGGAAGGGATGGAGACTATCCGGATCACAGCCTGCATGACTAACCTCGCACCGAAAACCTTTACCGTCGACATCCATAGCGCTTGGGATAATCCGGAACCCAGGTTGACTTGGGACTACCAAGCTAAAAGGTACAATACGGAGACAGCTCGGCATCAACTCGGTGCATCATTGATACCGGAGAGTTTCGAGAAACGGCGAGTGCTGACCCTAGCACCGAGGCCCCAATGGCAAGACTTCCCTAATAAGACGGGAATATGGGACTCGCCCTTCTATTTCGACAAAATTCTTCAATATACATTGTCAGTGAGTCATGTGCAGTACGAAAACGGAACTACGGACCCTGGTATCATCCTTTCTGAAGGGGACCGAATGATAGACAACAACGCATACATATCTCATATACACCCCTTCCAAGACACATTACATGATACGAAAAGCCCGGCTTTGGCACTCCAGGTACTGTTGGCAAGGATCACTCAGATGGTATACTATGAGGATTTTCTACGGTTGGATAATAAATCGGATGCATTGGTTTCGTTCTCCTCCACGGCGTTGATCCCGAGGAAGTGGACGGGACTGATCGCCGCCACGGCTCTTGTCGTGATTCATTTAACCCTATTAGTTATTGTCACAATCATTTACCTGAAGTGTACTAATGAGTCGCTATTGGGGAGCTCGTGGCAAGCTATTTCACAGGTCATCTCCGACGAGACCCTTCCCATATTAGAGCATGCGGACAGAATGAACGATGAGGATATTAGGCGCTGGGCCAAAGGTCAATCTCTCGACGCTGGAAACCATCAGGTTATCAGATGTCGAAGCACGGGGCGCGTTTGCTTGGGAAACAAAGGAGAGAAGACTTGATATTCGCGACGAGACGCACTGCGAGTAGGGCGTTCCGCTAAGAAGCTTTGTCACGGCTCCTATTTGCACTTTAACAGACGTCTGTGAGGAGAGACTGAATCCGCACATCTTGGAAAAGGCCGGGGAGGATGTGAAATAGTAATTATCCTGGGTTGAGAAGCAGCCTAAGCATGGCAGGCGCTCAGACTACGGATGATAATCACCTGGTGGCTAACTAGAGCAATCAATAGAGGCAACAAAGAGATTAAAAAGAGAAACGAGTTGCGCAAGTCCCGAAGATTGTACTAGCTGCACATTTCCCAAACTTTGTTGGGTCTGGTTATTTCTTCTGCCAAGAAGGAGGCTGAAGGCTCCGTACGTTGCTAAGGAGCGTGGTTGCAATCTGGATGGTCCCTGGAAGTCACCACCAATTAGAAGTCCACTTAAGCGGCTGGTAACCGCTGAAGAAGAAGTTGACGGTAACCAATCGGTCAAGTACTAGTAATCACTACATTCTTGTTGCCGGAATTCAGGCACTACTGGCAAATGCTCCGTTGACGGCTGTTGCAGGTAGCCGTATGTGCTGGTAGCTTGCCAAATGTCGTGACTGGTACCGAACGATACTTAGCCCTGGAAATTGCTGGTACATATGTAACCGCCATGGCGCACTTTGGCGTGACTGGTAGCCGCTATGGTACGAGTGCTGGAGGTTATATGTACCAGTCATCCAACCCAGGCTGTTACTGGCAACGTGGCACCATCTGGTGTTTGTGGAATTGTTGCTAGTAGCACTGCGACTACGTTGGTGGTAACCTTAGGTGCTACCTTATGCTCCAACTTCCAAAGTGATCGCCCGCGCCGCTTAACTAATGGCGAGGGAGACGATAACTCATATCACTCTCGCGGGTTCTGTCGCCAGGCAGCACTCCTCATAAGAACCAAGAAGGTCTTCACGCCTAAGGAGCTTTAGAATCTAGAGCACAAGAGTTTACCATTTACCATCTAGTCCTATTTACACGGAAAAGGCCCAACAGATCGTGAAGCCCAACAAAGGGGCCTCACCATACGGGACTTGTTGGTTACAACAGCCTGAACACGTGCCCGGGTGTTCCTTTCAAAATAATATAAACTCAAAATAAAATATATATTAACAAGGAGTATTATTTCGCTTTATAATTATATAAAATTATAAGTATAATATAAGTATAATATAAGCGTAAAATCTAAAATAATATTAGGCTATATTAGACTAAGAATAATAAAAGACTAGAAAAATAAGTTATCTTAGTATAATTAATACCGCGCTACGGCCCGCTGGTTAAGGCCATCTCGCGATAGCCTCAGCCACTGTTATCATAGAAGCAAACCTAGAAAAAAAGGCTTCCATGAACGCGGAGCCCAAGCGCAGCAGTAAGAAAGCTGCTAAACTGGCCACAAAAGGGGCCAGCAAGGCCAGCAAGGCCAGCAAGGCCAACAAGGCCAACAAGACCAACAAGGCCAACAAGGCCAACAAGGCCAAATAGATAATTCAATAATACTGCAAGTGCAAAAGAGTTGGACAAAAAGGTATTTTAGGCTTTACGTGGATCAACTTGCCCTTCACCTCCCATAAAATTACAATTCGTCCCTGTTTGTCCCTTCAACTTTCCACTAGTACCAAAAGTGACCTGCACAGCATCCTGAATCCCCATGCTCAAGGACTCCCCGGCATCTCCTGTGGTGGTCTTGCTGGTCTTTCAGTAGGCATCTCGTAAGTGGCCTTGCCTTGTTCAACCACTTGGTTAAAATCATAACCATAGGAAGAAGCCGGCTGGGGCGAGGCTGACATGGTACTCCCCTCACCGCTTGGTTGGTATTTGTATCCCGCTGAACCTGGTCTGGTTGCCACATCTACTGGCGCTGTAGCCGCGCTAGAATGACGCGTGTAGTCATTCTCTAGACTGTAACCCTGTAAAGACTGGTTTATAGTAGGCGGATAATACTGGGAAACAAACGGCTGTTGAGGGCTAGAAGTTGAAGCCTTTTTCTTGTGTCGACGAAAGAGGAAGCAGCCTAAAAGGCCGAGTAAAGCTAGACCGGCTAAGAAGAACAAAATCAGCTTTATATTGGCTTCAGGATGGAAAAGGACGGTTCAGGTTGTCTCTTACCTAGTCCTCCCACGACACCTCCTACAATGGCGCCCACGTTTGTCGTTGGAGGGGGCGGAGGAGGAGGAGGAGTTGTGGGTGGAGGGTAGGGAGTTGGGGTACTGGTAGAGCTGGTTGTAGTCGAAGTAAAGTCGTCAAAGATGGACACTTGTGTAGATGCCGTCCAGCAGAATGGCCAAGTATGCCCGGGATAATTAGTGCCGACGTACGACCCAAATGCGCAAGCAGGCGTTGCCGAGTCGGTGCTGCCGTCTCGGCGGATTAGCTCCATGGACTAATTCACGTGTAGAGACGTGATCACTATTGATTACTTGAGCTGAGCTTACTTACCAATATGTCGTTCCGTTCCTGGTTATTGTGGCCGATTCCAAGCCACGCGTGTAAGCTACACATGTATTGATGACGGTGCAATCGCTGCTGCAACAGCCAAATGCCTTATCAATCGCCCCCACCTGGCACCACTGGCCCTGTAAGCAGGTAATAGCTGAATCTAGAGAAGGATTTAGTTGGAGAAGAGGAATTGTAGACTAAATAGACTATTGCCTACTTGAAGCGCCGTTAACGTATCCACATGTTGAACGAACATCGCGTTTAAAGAGCTCAGGATGGGGTGCCGGGGCTGGCGTTATCAAAGGGCCAGCCCCGGGTGTCTTTCCTGCAGTTGGCTGTAAATAGGCAGGCACATTGGTAACACCAAGGCAGCTGGCTTTGGCGCCTATTATGCCTATACTTGCTATAAGCAGCGTAATAATAATAAAAGTCTGAGCATGTGGGCCTAGAAGCATTTTCGCGTCATTGTGCTCCATCACCTAGCAAGAGAGAAGGGCAGTGATATTTGGATATATCATTGATTTAGTCAATATCTACTAGCACCCAAATTTAACATTATATACTTTTTTTTCGTCTGCTCAACGTTGGCATAGCTCGCTTGAGTATGAATGTAGGGAGTATTAATAGAGCAAGCGGATTGGGCAAATTTTCATCCAAGGTTCAAGCCCTGTGAATAAAAGTACAAGCATACATAGAGTCAAGTGGTGCTGGACAAGTTCAGCTGGGCTGCCCGCCACACCTCAATGGATATATCGTGGCGTGGTGGTGTGTGGGAGTGCGTCCTTTGTGGAAGGTGTTTTATGGGCAGAGATTTTTTGCCAAAAGTCAATTTTTATCGTTTCGAGGGTTCAGCGCACACCTGCCATATTAGCCTGATTTGTCTTTACTGTAAATTCCCCATGTTTCTAAAAAAAAAAAAAGAGCCTGACGTCGCCTTCTGCGGGGCATCCGTTGTGCATTCTTCATGTACTGGATGTTACTTATGCTAGGCTGTTAAATAGGAAGCTTATAGGGGAGAGATCAAATTCTTGACAAGGTAGCGAATGTATACATGTAGTAAGAAAACAAGGCCAGTCGCGTCGGCCTTTAGTAGTAGCAGGTATAATTCTTCACAGCTACCAATATACTTGACACTTGTAATAATTGCGCGGGACAGCACTAACACGCACAAGGCAAGTAAGGCTAGCGACAAGATGCGAGTTATGCATATCAATTGTGGCCAAATATGCAAAGCGTACGGCCACAACGGAGCTATGCCGAAAAGGGTCTGTCGTGAAGCCCGAATAAAAGGTACATGCACATAGATACCATGGCAAAATTAGAGTCTGGTGGATCTTGTCAAAGGCGGTAGCCATTGTCGAAGCGAACGTTGAGGCTGGCCACAATTGGCGACTTTGGAAGAGCTTTGCCGAAGATGGTGTACAGTGGACGTTTCCAAAAGTTAAAAGGGCAACTGATTTGAGTCCTTTTGGATCGGAAAGGGGCACAGCAAGACGCGCCACCCTCGTCCACCTTTGGCCTGTTGCCGTCAGTGTACAGTATAGCCACCGAGATATTGCACTGGTTGCCGTTTCTTAATTCGGATCTGGTGACGCTTGGTCTTGGGGGGTCAGGCTGAATGCCTTCTTACCTCTTCAAGATTTACCTAGCATAAGGAATAAGTTTAGGCTGCGTGAAATAGGAGCCACATCGGTCTTGCGCCGCCCATTAAAGATTGTATACACTCATAGTCTGTTCTACAGTCGCGGTGCCCGCCTCTCCCCATAATTTGGCTTTAACTACATGCTACAAAGGTAGAATGCGGACAAGGTACTGCCACAATGGCAACAACAGCTAGAGTAGAGCCACACGACAAGCCTGTTTTGGCATGGCCCTTCTGTGAACATAAACTTCCTGCCGATAGAGGGGACCTTTCCAGCCGTGCTCGGAGCTGGGTCAGCCCATTGTTGGACTATTCTGGTAAAAGTATTCGCAGATCAGCCACTCGTTTGCGTACGCTGGGTGAATGCCAGCCACCATGGCAATTAAGTTGGGTCTGGTATCTGCGACCAAAACGGGAGCGCTTGCATCGGCACCTAAATACCGGTTTCTAGCTTAAGCGGCATCTTAATGATAGGCCAGGCAAAATCGGCTTATAGTAGTGGCAGTGATGAGATTTAACATTGAACCTGGCGTAAAGTGGCACCTGAACACTCCAATTATGTGCCTGTGTGTGGCATCCAGTTGCTTCTGGGGAATTTTCCCAGTCTCGGATTTGCAAGAAAACCAATAAATTAGCTTTCCAGACTGCTATCGGGGGCGCAATGGGCACATGCAATCCAAAATCTGGCGTCAGGATGTGACATGTGGCTTTCGCACTCGCCGCCTTTCAAGAAACCGCCCCGCCAATATATACACAGTATCTGCTGATGTGTCACAAATATAACTGGGTGACGGTCTACAATCCGGACGACCAGTCTCGGTACTTCACCACGAGGTGAAACTCTGGCAGCTATTCCTGGTTGCACTTAATTCGTGGCTACCCGTAGGACTACAGGTGCATTT